TGTTGTGAGAATGCACATACTTTCATAATTATTTAAAATATGTATATCAATAATATTAAAAAAATATATATATAAGCAGTTTGAATGTACGAATTGGATAGACATTTTGCAGAACATTTATTTAAAAGCTAAGAGTTTTAGTATTAGCTTGGTGTGTCGATTGTTGAGACAATGTCAATTTCTTAAAACATACATGTAACGTTTGTACTAATATATATATATGTATTACCAAGTTAAATTACTGCAATTCACACCTTATATTTTTATATATACTAACCTTTACATTGGCTTACACATATTAATATTATTTTTGAAATATTATAAAACAAGAAAACTACATATTATACATATGATATCCTCAAATGGTGTAACTATTGTCATCATTTTTATGTGGTTGGCATGCAAAAATGTATTATACATATCATTTATATAGTACTTTATATAATTTTTATTTATCATTATAATTTTAATTGTATTGAGTTTAATGAGTTATATTAAGATAAAAATATAATAACATTAATTGATACCCATGTTTAATTAGTAACTACATTTGAAAAGTTTCATTTTTTTCTTACTTATTTTATTGCAATATATACCTTTACGCTACCCTTACCTACAATAAGCCATTGGTTAACAATTAATGTTGTCTTTAGTATTATTCATTAACCAATAGTACCAGCAGTAATTTGTTCGAGCCTGTGCATTTCTATTTTAAAGGAGAGTTGTGCAAACTTATAATTATGTTAACTTCTGTTATATATATGTTTTAATATAACTTAGGTTAGGTTATGCATAAAAAAAAAAAAACACTAATAAATAATTGTTGTAAATAATAATTATTATAGTTGTAAATATTATTCATTCTGAAATATATACAAAAACAAATTAGAATTAGAAAAAAAAAGAACTCAAAAAAACTTTTTATAGCTTACCACAATCTGCAAAGCCATTATCCTATAAACAATGTATTTAACAACATTTATAACTAACATGTGTATTACATATTATATATACAGTGTGTAAACGGTAATCGAGAACACTCAATATCTTTGCGTAGAGACCTGCTATTTGAATTCCGTTTTTTTGGCAGTTGTTATGACATAAAAATACACATTTTTATGGTCTTTGAATTTTTTTTACTTAATTAGTCACGCGCATGCGCATGTCAACTTTTTTTTTTTAAATGGTAACCCCCTGCTTTAACCACTACTTATTTTTTGCCTATTTTTTTAATGAATTTTGGTAGTTGAATCAACTTTCTAAGTCCAAAATTGACCAAGTTACAGCCAATCAAAAAAAAGAAAAAATTAGAAAAAAATGCGCTCGATTTTCAGCTTTTTGATTTTAACTCTGAAAATAATTATTTTAGGATTGTTAAACATTGACATTTTTGTAACTATTTATTACGGTGATATTCATAAGTTATTTTAACTTCAATTACCTACTGAATAATTTTCTCTTTAATTTGTGTAATAAATCATATAACTTATTATAGCAGAAAAAACGTAAATTAGTATGTTGTTTATTTCTTTACATTTAATGGATCTATTAGAACGTATTAATAATTATTAATTAATAACAAATTCAATTCTTATTTAAGTTACCAATTTATTTAGTTAATAAAAATCTAAAAAAAAAAAAATCTAACGAATGAATTGTTCAAACTGTTCTCTGCCGTGAACAAAACATGATTCAGCGCGAGAAAATTATTCAGTAATTGAAGTTAAAATAACGTATGAATATCGCCGTAATAAATAGTTACAAAAATGTGAATGTTTAACAATCCTAAAATAATTATTTTCAGAGTTACAATCAAAAAACTGAAAATCGAGGGCATTTTTTTTTCTAATTTTTTCTTTTTTTTGATTGGCTGTAAC